TAGTTTGCATTCAATTTTTGTTGTTGTTGTCGGCAATGTTGTTGCCACCATTTGGAATTTATGAATGCAGCAGTGTTGTTATTATTTTCCGAATCACAATCAATATGCAGCAGCGTTCACATGAAAAGAAAGAAGAGCAAACAGAAAATGGAAATGAGAAGAAGTGATTAAAAATTTACAGTTCATAACAACGTATTGATTGCAACGCAATTGGTATTAAACTTTCAGCTGTATGCCGATAGGATTTTTATATGGTTTTTTGCTTTTGCTGAAATTCTGGAACTCATTTTCTTTTAAAATAATACACAAAGCTGTACCTATTCTTGATTAAGTCAGAGAAACAACTTTCACAACATCCATTGACTAATTGAGTTTCTCAAAATCAGCTAATGGATTAAAGCTTAAAAATTTGCAGTACTCTATGCAAATAAGCTTTTTCAGCTTTTGTTCTCAGAACTTAAAAGAACTTCTAAATGCCGGGACATTTCCTTTTTCTCGCAGAATTTTATGCTAATAGCCTTTTCCTAGAAGCTGAAATATTCTGTTATGTTCTCAGTAATTAAAAAAAAACTTCTAAATGCCGGGATCAGTGGCGGATCCAGCGGGGGCGGGAGATTTGGGGGTTAAACTGCGTGTTAGTCAGTAGCGGACCCACGGGGAGTATTTTAATGCATAAACGCCATATTATACATACATATGCGCCATATTAAAACACCTCCCGTGGGTCCGTCACTGGCTGACACGTAGTTTAACCCCCAAAACCCCCCGCTGGATCCGCCCCTGGCCGGGATATTTCCTTTTTACGCAGAATTTATGCTAATAGCCTTTTCCTAGAAGCTGCACTATTCTGTTATGTTCTCAGTAATTAAAAGAACTTAAAAATGCAGAGGCATTTTATATTACTTGTCTGAAAAAAAAATTCAAAGAATTGATGCTAAGGCTTTAGCCAGTACACATGTACGTATATGGATCAGCAGAAGGAAGGGTAGAAACCATATGGGGAAATATTAGAAAAGTTTGCACAAAAGCCACACAGTAGTTATGTGAAAATAAGCAGAAGGTACGAACGTGGCAGTTTAAAAAGTCTACTAGAAATTATGTTAGTAGAAAAGTGTGTTCACAAACGGGACCAGTTTTTGCAGATACGAGTATAGACGATTTCTGATAGAAGACAATCAGAGATACAAATGTATGTAAATTAGGGCGAGCCATGGTTTTTTTTTGACTATGCGCGTATAGCATGGCATATATGCCGAAGAAACCATGTGTCTAAAATCAATTTGGAATATGCTAAATTACATTAATAGGTTTCGAAGAAAATGTCAAAATTTTATGGTCAATGTTTTAAATAAAACATAAGCACAGAAATGGATCCTCATAACAAAAAACCCCTTTTTAGCATTTTTTCTACAAAATTGAAGTACTTCTTTACGACACTACAGCAAAATGCTAATAAACTTAGCGGAACCATTCTCACACATAGGCCAAGAATACTTAGTAGCGCCGTAATATTATATGGAGTAATTATTCTCTTCCATGCTATGAGCTTTACCTATGGTCTTATTTCCGCCTGTGAGATCTCAGCCAGGCGTCCGTAATCTTTTTCCATTCTCTTGCAACTACAAAATTGGTCCGGTGCGCCAACAACTAGTCTAATGGCATGTAAGCAAGGGCGTAGCCAGGTAGGAAAGGGGGCAGCTTCCACTCCCCTACAGCTACGAAATGAAGAACAATTTTGAAAAAATCTATAAATAAAAAATACAAAAATTCTATGCGTAATCGAATTCGTAATTATGCTCTCACATAAGGCTTGCGTTTTTCATCATTGATACAATGAAGTAAGTACAGCATTAATCATTGAATTCTGTGATGAACAGAATGGAAAACGCCAACGAGAAAAACACTTCCGCTTCCGTTAAATCTTGTTGTTCTACCCTAAAAGATGTGAACAACTTTTTTCGCGAATCACCGACTCGCAAGAATTGTGCTCCTAATAAATATATCACGTTTGTGTGAAACAAGATGCTCGAAAAAATATACAGCTATGAGGAAATTTTCAGAAAATTTTCCTGAAGTTGTGGAAGCTCAGAGAAACTTTTCTACAAGAAAGTCTGCGTATTAATTGCATGTAAATCCTGTAACAAGGCCGATATTCACGATTGCTTTAATAACCATTGTTAAACATTCAACGTTGCTGGAACCTACAGCAAACATTTTGCAAGCGAAGACAATAGAATATTGAAAATATTTTGGAGGTGGTTAAGAATGATCCCCTCGAATGCAGAAGGAGTCACTACAAAGTTGATTAACAAATCTGGTATTATTACAGTCGATCTAGGAGTAGAAATTTCTCTACCATGATTGGCAGGTAAACAAAAAAAAAAAAACAGAGGCAACGCCCATCGTTCAATGAAAATGAGTACTGGCGAACATCTGTAACAATACCGCATCTGGATTTACTAAGTACGATATGCAGAGTTGCCACCGAAACAGAAATAGAAAAATGTTAACAATTGAAGTTTTAGATCTATCTGAAGAAGAAAATGAATTTCTAACAGCGGTAAATAAGTGTATTTCTATTTTGTGTGCTTCTCCATGCACAACAGTGACTGTGTAGCGATCGTTTAGTAGACTTCGTAGAGTAGATACCTTGGTCAGAAGCACAACAGGAGAAGAGAGGCTTTCTGGACTATGCCTCATGAGCGTCCATAGAAAACTCGTTACCGAAAACCGCGATATGATTCAAGACAAAGAAATCGGAAAGTTTGCTGAAAATCCGAGACGTTTGTGTAGCGTAAAAATGATTAAAT